CCATTTGGAAAAATGCTTTAAATAAACGGAAAAATTATAATATGTGTTTTCTGAGAGAATAAATATATTCCTGAAAAAATTAAGAAATCTAACTTTTTATACAGTCCTCCGGTTCTATCAATCATATTTAATAAAATATTTTTACACTTTAACATTTTAAACAAAAAAAGTGCCACTCTTCTGCGACTAAAACTGACCGAGTTATGGAGCTTTGAATATCGCTGACTAAGACCACTTTACACATTTCAATAGCCGTCTTGAACACGATCCACCAATCAATGCGCAGCACTTGCTCGAAGAGGTCGCTGATTGGTTGAAATCATGAAATTCAAAGCTCCATAACTCGCTCGTTTTAGTCACAGAAGAGTGGGTTTTTTTGTTTTAAATGTTAGAATGCCAAAAATATTTTACTGAATATGACTGATTGGAATATGATTGAAAGTTAGAATTCGTAACTTTTTCAGAAATATATTTAGTGACTCCAAAAACATAAAATATAATTCTTCCCTTTATTTAAACCATTTTTCCAATTGGAACTATATGTCTGTCTCTAACGGTTTAGAAATTAGCTATTGGACCAAGATAAGTGTGGACATCCTGTATATTACATGCACGTATATGTCAGCAGTTAGTAAAGCTTACTGTAAAATGTTAAAAATTATATTGTTTATAAAGCAAAAATACAAGTGACGACTCTTGAAGCTTCCTTGACTTCGACTCATGACTACTAGCACTCCACTACCCATTATCCCAATAGCACAAAGATATTGTACGATATTAAACAATATTCGCAGTATTGTATAATATTGTACAATATCATATAATATTATATAATATCTAACAATATTGTACAATATCGGGCAACATATTGTGCTACATGGATAATACGCCATTTGAGGCTCACGGGCAACGGCCCATAGGTTAGGAACCGCTATTCTACGGCATTCAGAATATCGAACAACGTCGTGAAGATACCGTACAATGTCTTGTGCTAATAGTTTGGAACAAGGAAGAAACTTCTGGTAACATTTCGAATCCATCGAAGCATATCTACGATTAGACAGACCGATAATCTGTGGACGGATCTAGTCGTAAATTTGATATGGATGTATAATTATGGTGGCAAAACGAGATGCAAAATTTCACATATCTATATCGTTCTGTTTTTGATCAATCATGTTCACGTGCTTACGTGGAACGACAGTAGGCATCATTTTGAGGGATTTCGCCAAAATTTGAAAGCAATCTAGAATTTTGGGGCATAGACTGCATACCAAACTTCATATCTCTAGCCTGTTGCGTTTTTGAGTTGTAGAGTTCAGAGACAAAAATTAATTTCGAAAATGTTTTTTTCGGTCGCATGAAGATGCTAAACGTGGAGATTCATCAAAATCTTGAGGACGAGTTTTTGGATGATTACAATACTTTCTTCTGTATTCTTCGTGTTTGAAAGCCGCGGTGGCCTGTGGTGAGGTCTCGGTTTCGGGGCAGAAGGTTCCAGTTTCGAAACTCGATTCAGCTAAAGATTCGACGTGGATGTAGGCCTGTTGCACGCTAATTCATGCTTAGTGAGTCAAACTCCCTTTTACTGGTCTGATGCGAAAGTTTGGAGAGGGGGTGCCATCTCAGGTTTCGTCCTCGTCATCCGATCGTCATTCAAAATTACGAGATCCAACCCAAACTAGTAAAAATGCTCACCCCCTAAACTTTATCGTGTACTCCTTACCCAAGGTGTCATTTCCCCCCCCCCTCGCGTGGATAAAAATTGCGAATCTTCGGTAACGCTCAGAACGCAATGGATACTCACGAGTTTACCTCGGCGAGAGTCAAAGTCAATATGGCGTTGCTTCATTGTGTGATGAGTGAAAACGAATAGGCGATTTGAAGGCCTTATTTTTAACCGATTGAAATGAAAATTGGGCACAGATCTACAGTTAGGATAAGAAGACTTCATACTAATTTTTGTTTGTCTAAGTCGTTGGGTTTAGGCGTTATCGTGTTCCCAAGCATCTGATAATACAGACTGATAGACAGTCAACGCGTTGACAGATTTGGTCCGAAATTCGATACAGATCTACATTCCCGATGATAAAACTGTGTACCAAATTTTATCCATCTAGCTATTTAAGTTTTTGAGTTTTTCGTGTTCACATGAACACGTGCAAATTACGTGTAGAGATCACATACCAAATTTCAGCCCTCTAGTTCTAACCGTTTTCGAGTTATCATGTTCACAGACACTCAGACAGACAGACATAATTCCCAAATTGTGTTTTTAGGACTCAGGGAGGTCTAAAAAGTGGAGATTCATCAAACTCTCGAGTTCGAATTTTTTGAAAATTATAATACTTTCTCTTTGTATATACTATTGCACTATTACAATACTTTCTTTTTGTATAAATATTGCACTATTACAATACTTTCTCTTTGTATACTTCGTATACGAGAAAGTAAAAAAACCCTAGTGTTACTTCAAAAGGGGACGTTAATGCAACTAAACTAAACTAAACTAAATTTCGTTAATGATAAAAATATAATAAGAGTCTACAATTGGGCATCTTCAACTAATAAGAAGCGTCTAGTCGTATTGCACTGATGCCATCTTACAGTAACAATTTAGTAAAATATATACAAAATTTCTATTTCAACAGTGCATTATCACTAACACTTACGATAACATAAATTTTGGTTATAAAGTAAATAACCGGTGAACTGAGTTTGACGGTTAAGCACGTCAAACCAAATCTCTATTATGTTGCGTTTGAGGTGTATGATGCTCGTCGTATAAAATTTAAAAAAATACCATTTGAGATAAAAACTCCAAATTTTAGTAAGATGTAATAAAAATGCCATTTAGTTGTTTATATACCTGCTATTGCCAGTAAAACTACTATGTAGTATTTTAAGAAGAAAAGTTCTTTAATTTTTTGAACCGAAGATTAATACCACCAAAAAATACCATCCGAATTAGTTTCATTTTTATTTTTATTGTGTAAGAATTTTGTTATTTTGTTGAAATTTAAAAATATTTAATAAAAATAATTTTCTGCGATGAGTTATTTAGTTTTTCAATTAAAAATGTAAGTCTTCATAGTTTTGCTTTGATTTTGCATTAAAATTTCAAGATGGAGCCTTTGCTTTGCCTTCGACATGTTTGTTCAGCAACGGATTCCGAGACTACCACTTTTGGACGATTTGCACCGGAAAGGGGTGTCAGGCAATGAGTCATATGAGCGCATTCCCGGAGTTCTTTGTTAGATGACGCTCTGTAACATGTAAACATCACCCTTCCATTCTTCACTTTCCCCCTATTTCGATGAAAATAACTCTGCCCGGCGCATGCGCAGAAGCGCGGATGGTTTCCGAATCCGTTGCTATACAATACTTCTCATCGATTTATTTTATTCACACACTCCATAAGAGATTTTCGAAACTGAATTCCGCAGTTAAATGGTTAATAATATTCATAGGAGTTAGCAGGGCCGGATTACTAAATAGACAAAGCAGGCAACTGCCTTTACGTCCCACAACTTTTGGGGGCGACGGGGTCTCGAGAATTTTTTTATACTTTCTAGTTAACATAATTTTGTGCTTACATTTGATTTACAATGTCCATGTAATCAAACATATTAAAATTTTAATTAAGGATTGCTTAAATTTCAGAACATTATTCTTAGAATCTTTTTTCATGTTTTCAAATTTGCTTACAGATAAATGTTGTCCAACTTTTTACGCAGTTTACTGACTAATTCACAAGTCAACAGACCTGGAAATCTTTGTAATAGAATATTATGCTAAATGTCTTTTGGAAATTTTTTAAATGTTAAATTTATGTTTAAAATTTCTTTCAAATTTAAAATTTTTATACGTGATTTAAATCTTTTATAATAAAACCAAATGTATTGAAGGTGATCCGCAATTTAAATGTTATATGATTTATGTTTATTATTATATGTGTTACTAAATGTACAGAGATTAAATTTAAATACAAAAAGGTCCTCAAAACTAATATTGCTTATGGGCCTCTGCAGGTCTTAATCCGGCCCTGGGAGTTACAATATTGAAGCAGCACCAAAAAAATCATATATTTACTGAATAATAGAAGTTGGAACGAATTCTTCAGATCTGCTCAGTATCTTCTTCTATATCTACTTAATCAGTCTTTTAAATATCTAATACGAAATCTTTAATCAACAAGTAAAACCGAAACAACCCGGGACATTTTTTTCAACACGGTACAAGGACTCAAAAAGCTGGACGTCTCTGATCACTCCATCTTTAGCACTCTCTTAAGAAATAGACATCAAGAATTTTTCGTAACTCTCATAAGAATTTGAATATAAGTTTGTACTCTTTCTAAATGCAGTTTTAGTTTTTTTATTTATAAATCAACAAAAGGCAGATGGGCCCTTTAAACGTATACGTGAACGCACGCCACTTTGCAGCTTAAACTGTTACGAAAGTTCCTCTGCCTAAGAAGATTTTTATCTAGGTCACTATGAAGTTGAAGAGCACAAACAGAGCAGATGAAACCGTAAGATGAGCAGCTGCTTGTGCAGTTCCATGGTGTAATGGTTAGCACTCTGGACTTTGAATCCAGCGATCCGAGTTCAAATCTCGGTGGAACCTGCTCCCTTTTTTAAATATTAAATATGTTTCCTTTCGAATCTTTCCATTTCTTTTATACCTTTTTGTGACATTTAACGACAATTGTATATATCAACTAAGCGTCATGAAGCGTCATTTCCACACAAATAAAATATCAATTTCTCATCTATTTAATTAGATATCATCTATATTATTATCTAATAAGATTTATACATATTAAATCTTTTTCCATTTCTTTCTTTCTCTTTCTGTCTCTTCCTTTGATAATTTTTGTAGGCGAGTTTAATTATAAGAGAGTAATTTATAATATACAAAACTTTTATCTAGGGAATTATAAAGTTGAATAGCGCAAACAAAGCAGATGAAATCGTACGATGAGCCCCTGCTTGTGAGGTTCCGTGCTGCAATGGTTAGCACTCAGGACAATAAATCCAGCGATCCGAGTTCAAATTTTGGTGGAACCGGCATTTTTTTATATTAAATATGTCTCCTTTCATATCTTTCTATTTCTTTTAACATCTTCCGACAATTTTTCAATTAGCTGATCAGCATGGAAAGTGATCTCCTTACAAATAAAGTATTCATTTATCATCCATATTATACATATTAAATCTTTTTTTCATTTCTTTCTTTTTCCATCTATCTCTTCCTTTCATAATTTCTTTAGAAATTTTAATTATAGGTGATTAATTATGTTTATTATATACTAGACTTTTATCTAGAGCACTATCAAGTTGAAGAGCGCAAACAGAGCAGTTGAAATCGTAAGATGAACAGCTGCTTGTACGGTTCCATGGTGTAATGGTTAGCACTCTGGACTTTGAATCCAGCGATCCGAGTTCAAATCTCGGTGGAACCTGAATTTTTTTATTAAATATGTTTCCTTTCATATCCTTCCGTTTCTTTTATAATTTTTTACATCTTCTGACGATTTTACAATCAACTAAGCGTCATGGAAAAAGATTTCTTTACAAATAAAGTATTAATTTATCATTTATATAATACCCATTCAGACTTTTTCTTTCTAACTCTTTAGGTGATTTTAATTATAGGCGATTAATTACATTTATTATATATTAGACTTTTATCTAGAGCACTATCACGTTGAAGAGCGCAAACAGAGCAGATGAAATCGTAAGATGGGCACTTGCTTATGAGGTTCCATGGTGTAAGGGTTAGCACTCTGAATCCAGCGATCCGAGTTCAAATCTCGTTGGAACCCGTTTCATTCACTCTTGTTAAACCCAGTATATTAAGAAAACTTGTGAACAAATATATACATGCTCTTGAGATTGCATGTCACGGTGAGGTTCCATGGTGTAATGGTTAGCACTCTGGTTTCTGAATCCAGAGATCCGAGTTCAAATCTCAGTGGATTCTGAATTTTTTCTATATTAAATATGATTCCTTTCATATCTTTCTATTTCTTTCATAACTTTTTATAACATCTTCCGACGATTTTACAATAAACGTCATTAAATGAGCGTCATAGAAAGTGACCTCCTTTCAAATTAGGTATTAATTTATCATCTATATAATACACATTCAACCTTTTTCTTTTCTTTCTTTCTTTTTCTTTATACCCTTCCTTTGGTAATTTTTAGGCGATTTTAACATTAATTACATTTATTTTTTACAAAGGAATGGATTTTTTTAAGAACACGGAAACAACTTAGTTTAAAATAAATATACACTTGTTCAGAATTTCTTTTTGATAGTCTAATCTTCATACGAACATAATTGCTATTTTAATACAGTCTGATCATATTTAGTACAGAAAAGTTATTGTGCTATAGATAGAATATATTTTTTGTATATCATCGATTCGCACTCAAATTCGTTTTTGGTTTGTGAGATCTTAACTAAACGTCTCTTTCTGTTTTTCCACTTTTAGTTTAGCTTTTCAAGATTTATTCGAGATGGTAAACCTGAAATTAACTAGTTGATTTTTGGGAGTTGTTCCTTACTAGTATGAGATACTTTGCAATATTCATACAATATCTTTACAATGTTGTGCGGCATTCAGAAAATCGTAGAGATATCGTTAAATGTCTTATGCTAATAGGGTTGGTATGGCAGACCTTGGTTCTTGGTTTTGGTATAATATTTTCTTTCGGTAAATAATGAATACAACTAGTAATTTAGTATTTAATCAAAAGTAGTTATCTTGTTTTTTATCGTCTTCTAAGTATCTTTGAGACAAAAGTAGCTAATAAATTGAAATATTCCCTAGCATTTTGTTTGTTCCGATTTGGAAAAATTAAATTCGATTAACTTAGTATAAGAAATTCGACAGTGATTTAATAACGTTAGCCTTTGCGTTACTCAAGCTTTTCTAAAATGCCTAATGCTACTGCATCCTGTATGGAAAGACAAAACAGCGTTATTCCTTATTGAAGAGGTCACTTTTCATTAAAATGTCTCATTTTAGCATATTTTTATTTTATTTAACTTTGCTTACTATTCTACACAATTTTTTATGAGTGTTTTTCAAAGTACTGCTGTTTCAGAAAGCCGCGCCTATCACTTTTGTACGCAGTTGAGTGATACGAAGTGAGTAAGAAGAAAGTTTTTCCAGAGTTCTTTGTTAGTCACATTTTTCTTTTAAATATTCTTTTCTGATGTTGGAATGTATTATTGAATTGTATTATTTTGTTTTAATTCGAAACTTGTGTAATGTTTATATACATTGTTTAGTAAAATATAAACATCTCCGTTCATTTCACCGCCATTTTAGCGAAATCATAGCTAAATGGCCCTTGCGCAAAAGTGCAGAGGGTTTCGGTATCTGAAAACAGACAGTAATGTATGTGGCTTTCGCACATTGCAGAAATTAACTACCTCCAAAATTCTGCGGATTGCATTAGTTTTGCTTTTAATTTACAATCCCTTTTGCTTATAACCTATTATTATATTAGGTATAGGAGGTATCTATATATATATATAAAAGCAATTTTTTTGAGTATGTATGTATGTTTTTCTGTTCTTTATGTAACCCCAGATCGCATTTAGCACTAGAAGGAGCTAACGCCGTAAACTTATTTTTAAAATTCGAATTAGATTTTTATTTATTTAATGTTAAGTGGAAAATTCATGCGTTTTTTGCCCAGTTTTGCGAATTTTTTTTTTTATCTATGAAGAAAAGTTATATTTCCGGTGTTTTAATTTATTGTTTTTTTTCCTTCTTTTTTTTGTTTGGTGTTTTTATTTATTTCTCCTTAATTATTATTCTTTTTGAGCCGTATTAATGAAGTTGGTTCTTGCATTCCCCCCAAATTTGTTTTATTTTATTATTTATTTATTTTTCTTCATATATTGTTCTTTTTGAGCCTTACTAAAGTAAGTTGGTTGGAATAAAAGTTTTATCTTGACGATGAATTTTTGTTTCATCTTTGTCTATATATTTGGAGAAAAAGAAACGGGGTGTGGGGGGCGGCATATGAAAATATTTGGATTCCGAGCAACGCCGGGTTATCACCTTATTATATTGCATGCACTTCTACAAAGGCCGCGGTGGCTTAGTGGTAAGGTCTGGAGGGTTCGAAACCCGATTCCACTGAAATATCCGCCGTGTATGGGGCCTGTTGCATGTTAAATCACGCGTAGTGTGGCGTGGATGTTTGGAGAGGGGGTGCCAGCTCTGGTGTCGTCCTCGTCATCTGACTGCGGTTCAAAATTACGAGGTCCGTCCCTAAATAGCCCTCGTGTTGCTTCAAAACGGGACGTTAATATAACTAAACTACACTTCTACAGCGAGGTTCTTCTCTAATAATTCTTCGATCGAATTAGTAAAATGCCAGGGAAAGAAGCGGAAAATACAGATAATTCTGGTGCTCGACCCTCCTAAATTGTTTGTTTTGTATTATTTCTTATATTATTTGAAAGAAGCGGAAAATACAGATAATTCTGGTGCTCGGCCCTCCTAAATTGTTTGTTTTGTATTATTTCGTATATTATTTGAAAGAAACGGAAAATACAGATAATTCTGGTGCTCGACCCTCCTAAATTGTTTGTTTTGTATTATTTCTTATATTATTTGAAAGAGGAAAATACAGATAATTCTGGTGCTCGGCCCTCCTAAATTGTTTGTTTTGTATTATTTCTTATATTATTTTGTATTATTTTTGTATATATGTTTACTGTTTAAGTTTAATAGCATAGTCCCCCTACCCCTTCATGCATACTATTTTATTTTGTGTTTATTTTTTATAATTTCATTATTCAAACTAACAAAAATTTTAAATGTTATTAAATTATTTAACATCTCTCCCTCAGTATAAGAGTTTCAAACTAAAAGATAAAAAGCATTTTTTTATGTTATCGTTTCATTTCTTGGGAAAAACCTCTGCAACGATGCAATTGAAATCTTACGGCGACAGCAAAATTTTCCACGGGTGAATAACATGTCTAATATTACTCAATAATGCAAGAAATTCAAAATAGTGCTACTCATAGTCGAGAAATATGATTCCCATAACGATGTTTTATTGCCACATCGCTTAATTAGTCGAAAGTATGTTTTCCACTCTGTGCAGTTCTTTTCCCTTTGCTGATAACTCATCAATATGACACACTGTATTATTTGCGTCTTTGTATTTCTGAAAAAATAAGTATTTACAAGGGAATACATTCATATTTTGCTGATTAAGCACATAACACCTGTGAATGTTTTCAATTTTTTCCTCATTCAGCTGCGAACATGTACACATGACGGTATATGATGGAAGTTACTACGAAATTAAGCGACTCTTTTGCTTGTTTACTGTGATAAGAGGTCTCATATATTTCATAAACGAAGGCCATGTTTCTTATTATGCCTTGCAACATATTTTTGTTGTTGTCAATTAATCATTGCTTAAAACGAATTGTTGAGTATTTGCATAATAAATTATATAAAATTTACATATTTCTTTGTTCTGGGAAGTTCTGAAGAGGGTCTCTGAGTCATGTACTCAATAAATCCTGCGTACCGCATCATATTTTTAAATTCGTAGTTGTAAATATCGCAAGTCAAATCTATATAAAAAAAACTGGAACGCCATTTTTTGTACGCTACAGAAATATAAACAGTTGAATAGATTTTCATCAAATTTTGCTCACAAATGCTATGAAGCATAAGGAAGGTTCCGTGATAATTTATTAAATAATTAATTTTTTATTAATTAAAAACTGTGTCTCTCTGTCTGCTCTTCCCCTGATGCACATAGAAGGCAAAACATTAATAGCCTATATAGAAAATTAGCGTTCGGGGATTTAAAAAAATCGTTTGGTCCACTTGATATTCTGATTTTAATTAAAAACCGTTTCAGACGATAAAAGGATTTTGCGCATTATAATATTTTATATAAAAGTATTTTTATCTTAAACAACGTCGGGAATATCAGCTAGTTTAAAAGAAATTATGTTTGCCTGCGAAGGGAATTTGGAGTGATTGGTTAAATTTAGCTTAGTTATATTGACGTCT